ACACACACACACACACTCTCTCTCTCTCTCTCACGGCGCTCCTCTCCGGCAGGACTCCGACTCTCTCGCCAGTTTCCGCCCCTCTGCTCGATGCTGCCTCCACCGAAACCCAAGCAACGCTTCAACCTCCTCGAAACTTCCCCTACGACCGACAGCCTGCTGCCCGTTCGTCTCCTTTTCCTTCGACTCCTCCGGGTCTGGTTTTGGTCGACCAGATACGAACACGACCGCTCCCCCGCCGCCCCTTCCCTCCGCCGCGCCGCGTTTCCCAGTTATCGCTCTGTTGCGCGAATTTTGTTTCGTCTTTCGACAGGGAAATTGCTCCTTGGTCGCTCTCGTTCGCGAAGTTAATTAACTCTCGAGTCTATCGACGAGCGATCGATCGTGTCGTCCGGTGAATCCGAGGTGGCAACTTTTTTCGAGCATTGTTTTCGATTCGAACTTTCAACTGATCGGAACTCCGATATTAGCCGATCAGGATTCAAGGAGCCCGTAAGTATTCGTGCCCTCTGTTGAAGAAATTCGTCTGGTTTAATATGTTCACGCCGGCGTGTACCACGCGTGGCTCACGCTTGATTCCTTCATCGGGCGGCGTGTACCACCGGTGGCTCGCGCTTGCACGTTTATCGGATATCGTGTACCGCCGCGCCGCCCCATGGCGACAAACACAAACAGCAGCGCCGCCGTTACTGCCAGAAATAAATATTATTTGAACTATTGGATGCTACATAATCAAACATTTATAGCGTTATATATTTTTGTAACTTCGTCAAAATTCATGAATTTCATTTGAATTATTTTTCTTTGATGCTCAACTTCCTGACTTACTCTTCTTTAGTTCTTCAGTGAAAAACACTGTCACCCATATATGGGTGATCATGGCGATCAACGTGTTAAACGATAGGCGTCGCGTTTCCAAATCAATTATTCCGTTATAAATACGTACACAAATAAGCTTCACACATTGTAAGAGTAAGAAAGAGTATTTGTAAAGAGAATATCGCGAAGCCGGCCGCACGGAAATATTCTCTTAAATCTGCGATGGCTGACTCGACACGTGGACTAGATACTCTAATACGATAGAAACAGGTAAGAAACAGTGTAGAAGTAAAATAGAAATAGGATAGCGAATATTAAGAGATAAACTTAAATGATCGTTTCTCGTATTTTAACTAAGATTCTAGTCGTGTAATACGTTAACCGTTTGTAAATCTATCATTTTCAAACCTAATCTGCAAAAATTAATAAAATCTCTCGTATTTTAGAGCAACACCTGACACTTTCGTCCTGGACAAAAATCTTACTATAGATTTAAAATAACAAATTCATTAGGAAGCTCGAAACATTCGTTTAAATCAGACGAATTTCTTCGATAAATACAGAGGGTACGAAAAATCAAATTCCATTCGTTTGTCCAACCACAATTTTCATTTGTCCATCCTTCAGAAAGAAGTTTCACCGCAAATAAGCCATTTGAAGTCAGCGCACCTATATAGACCTTTTTGTAGGGTTTTCTTAACAAATGTGTCCCTCCACATTTTGTCCACTAATGTTTTTCGTTTGTCCAATCGATATTTTCGTTTGTCCACCCCTCAGAAAAAAGATACCCTTCAATTAAGGAGAAGTTGCAGCGATACGCTCGGTTGCGGGTCATCTGTCCTCGTTTTGTCAATTTTGTAGCTAATTATTTATGTTTGCGCAGAACCGCTAACGTTATTTGTTACTTGTTTGTTTCTTAAATTAATATTATTGACATGTTACATAAAAACGGGGAAAGAGAAATAATTAAAATACAAATAGAATGTTGCAATAGCCATTGCACAAACAATTTCTGCATTTTAACTATTAATTTGCATCCAACGGTATATATCACATACATATTCACCTTAATAATTATTAAATTGACGAACATGATACGCAAGTGTAACTAGCGATACTATATTGTCCTAATCTATGCGTAACCTTTTCCTAAGGGTTACACAAGCGAAAACTTTAATTGAAAAAACAAATAACGTTAGTGGTACCGCGCAGACAGAAATAATTAGCTACAAAATTGATAAAACGAAGACAAATGACCCGCAACCGAGCGTATCGCTGGCAACTAGTCCTTAATTAAAGTGTATCTTTTTTCCGGAGGGTGGACAAACGAAAAACATTAGTGGACAAAATGTGGAGGGACACATTTGTTAAGAAAACCCTAAAAGAAGGTCTATATAGGTGCGCTGACTTCAAATGGCTTGTTTGTGGTGAAACATTTTTCTGAAGGGTGGACAAACGAAAATTGTGGTTGGACAAACGTGGACAAACGAATGGAATTTGATTTTGATCAAAATTTGCATTTGGGGGTGCGAACTTCACTAAGCTTACGAACACTTCTCGGAACGACTGTAGATGTTCCCGAAACAGAGTTCTTCGAAAGCTATGGGGGGAAAAACCGAGCGACCTCTTGGTGTCAGCTTGAAGGGGCCAGTGGACAGCGATCGAACGAGTTTCCTTCGGTATCCTCCAGATATGGGAACATCGCGTAACCCTCCGAGGAAGAGATATACGGTTTTTTTGCTTCCAGGCTCTCCTGGCCCCCATTATTCTCCGTCTGTCGTCCCTCTCCCTCTTGTCTCCGCTTGTCCACGTTTTTTTATATTTATTCTTTTTTTTTTTACCCGCGCTCCTCGCGCGCAATTGTAACGCGCATCCCCGGTGGGTGGCAAATCAGAGGATCTCGCGCCGGAGGTCAACCCTTCTCTCCCCTGCGTATCGTTTAGGAATCATCCCTCCTGGTACCGTAGTACTATTCCATTGATTCTCGACGCCTTTCCCGACTTCTTCCGCGGCATTAAAGCGATAAACGCTGCAGGACGACACGTTCGAGATCCGCGCAGCTAGCGTAGGGGTGACTTCGAGAGGCCACGAGCGACAGGGACGGGGGACGAGGGCAAAGAAGCTCAGAATGGGTTAGTTAAGGGGGTCGCGTGTGTACGTTGCGTGGGATTCCTTAATTCTCTTTTACGAGCGTGCTCGAATTGCGGGCGCAGATTTCTGGGGTCGTCGTTACCCGTCCCGGAATCGTCTGCCTCGTGGCGACGCGAGGTGAAAAAAAAAAAAATAAAAAAACCAAAGAGGAAAAAAGCCGAGCCCCGCGGGCGGGACAGAGGGGACGGGGGCGAGATTAATTTTCAGCAACAATCGTAAAATGTGGGAGATCAAAGGAACGCGCTGCCTCCGAGGTCTCTTAACCCCTCTGCCCCGATGTTATCGTCCCTTAAGGGGGCATTCTGGTCTACCACTTTGAGAGAGTCGATTTCTGTTTTCTATTTTTTTTTTTTTTTTGTCGTAGGTTTTCTCGGGGCACCGTGGGTTATAGCGGTGACCAGTGGTTCTTGGTTCCGATGGATGGATTCGAAGCGAGATTTTTCGCTTTTTCGAGCACCCGGAGAATTTCATAGGGTATCGCCTCGGAAAGAGGCGAGCGAAGCGAAGGAGATATCAAGTTCCAAGCCGGAGCTTGAATGTCAGCGTGTTTCAAAGTTTCGGAGGAACGTTTTAACACGTTGGCTGCCGAGTTAAAACTCGAGAGAATTGTTACGAAGTTAAAATTATGCCTCGAGACTATCGAAAATTAGATAACATTCGTCGTAGCATAGAACTTTTTCACGTCGCGAATTTCACGAATCCTATCCATAATTATTTTCGTCGTTGCTTCATATACGGAATTAATTTTTTGTCTTTTAATCGTCCTTAATCCTTTGCACTCGAGGCCTCTTTTTCTGGTATCTACTAGCAACTCGAAATGTTTCTTAGCATTCCATTGCCACGAATTTCTAAGCTATCTACATTTGAGAATAGCTTGACAATCGTTTTATTGACATTTCGAGCTCCGAAGAAATTAAACCTAAAGGAAACATTAGGCATTTAGGTATAGATTTGCTGCGCGAAAGCTAACGGTGACTGAGAGTCGCCTCTCGAGTGCAAAGCGTTACAAGCTTTCGAGAAATTCAGTAAATAAAGGGTTAAGCGACATGCGATCCGGTAACAAACAGACGAAGCGGTGGAAAACGTTGCCACCTGATTTTTCGCACGAGAGACGGACGCTCTTCTCGTCTCGTGGTCGCGATATCGCGAATGGGCGTGACGAGCGTTATTGATTCGCGATTGAGAATTCCGAGCGAGAGGAACCAGGCAGGAAACGCAAGGTTATCGATTAGCCCGTTTCGTACGATGGAATCGAAAAAAAAAGAAGAAGAGAAAAAATTTGATAGGGGGACGAAAGATGAGCGAGGAAGAGGAGATCGCAGAGGAAGAGGACGACGAAGGGATTGTCGACGATGATCGCGGAAGACGCCATTCATTCCGAGCCCCGATCTGACCGCAGGCGACCCGAGAACCTCGGCGAAATATTGCTCGTTTTCTCGCGAGACTTGTTTGTCGAAAAAAATCCCTCCGCCCTCTGAAAAATGCCGGAACGACGTGAGGCGCATTCCTAAAATACCGAAGGAATCGAAAAGCCGGGGTTCCGGTTGAAACGACCGCAGAGACGTTAAATATACCGCTGTATCTTTGAACTTTGAGGGAGAAAGGGCAAGTTATATCGAGAGCGTAATTAGCCCCGAATCCTATTTTCAAAACTGTCGTTAAAGATTCGAGCGAAGCTCTAGAAGTGACAGGTACCTCGATTCAAAAATGAAAATCTACCTTGGGATCCTTGAATCAGGCGTCGCGGATAATCGGAATTAGACTCCCGCGGACGCAGACTGGACCACCGCGCTCTCGATGTATTATTCAGATCGCGCACCGATTAATAATGCAACGGAAGTCGAATTACCGAAGAGAATCACGCGTTCGGATTTGTACGTATATAATCGAATTAATTGTACACCCTTTGAAAATAACCGAGACCAATCGCGGGTATGTTTCGCTCCGAATAAAATTTTCTAGTTGGTCTAGACCAGTTTACGAACTTGAGATCGAAGTGGCGGACGGAAAAGTTAAAGAATTTTGTAATAAAAAAAAAATAAAAAGGAAAAAAAAATGAAAAAGATCGCGAATGCTCGATGGATCGCAAGAGAACAACCGACGCCGATTAAAGCGTACACGTGGTTCGACGCGCGTCCGAACGAATCGCACTCGATATTCTCCTCGAGTTCGTCGATTTTCTTTCGCTTGCGGCGCATATTTCGCGTGCCTAACGACAGTTTGAAAGGACTCCGTGCGACGCTCGTCCCGAAGTCGTGCGGAATTTCAAATCGGCCGGGGACGCGTACCTCGGAGTATTCGGGAAAACCTCGGAAAATTCGGGAAAACTGCGTACAATTCGGGAGCAATATACTGAAAACTCGTGGGACGAACAGAGTTACGAGAAGAACCGGAAAATTCAAGAAAGTTCGGCGAATCGGAAAATTTGCGAAGAATCAAGAAAAACGAACGCGAAGAAACGGGAGAACTTACGATGAATCGATATTTAGAGAAAACCCTAGAAAATTAAGAGAGAATTAAAAATTCTGTGGAAATGACGAAGAACCCTGAAAATTCGTGTTCCTTCTGGTTCAACGATCGCGCGCGGCCGAGAATTCCATTCTCTCCTGGCTACTTATATTCTTATTATTCCGTCTGCTTCTTTTTTTTTTATCATTTTATCAATTTTTTGTTTGTTTGTTTCGTTAATGGTCCAAGAACATTGCTTATCATTTTCTAGGCAAACGAACGAACGAGGGACGCGGTCCACGGGAACGACAAAGCCCGGAGTTTCTCGACGAGGTCGTTCAATTACGACTCCGCTCGTCCTACGAAGATCCGAAAGAGCGACACGACGGTCTTCGTGGGCGACGCGAGGGAAGAAACCGACCGGAAGTCGAGCGGCGCGGCCGACGAAGAAAACGTGAACGCTTCGAGGCGGCAGGAAGAGAGGAGAAACGACGAATGAAACCTGGGATCTCGCGAGATCGATTCTAGAATCGTCCAAGAGGATCGACGTTGCAAGTTCGAAGCCGTCGGCCATGGTTAACGAACGACCTTGCATCGATACAGACAACCTTGCATTGATACAACCTTCCATCGATACTATCTTTACTTTTTCCTTCTCTTTTTTAGATTAACGCTTGAATTTTCTCGTCACTGCTCGTTCTCGATTCGATTGGAGAATGTTTTCTCACGTGTTCTGATCTACTTGCCGTTCGAACGGAAATACGGATGGCGTGACAGCTCCTTTAGAACTGAAAATGGCGACGCGTCGGTTTCCTCGTGGCCGTCTCGAGTTTCGTCGGCGTGGGCCACGCGCTTCTTTGTTCTCGCGAGTTTGTTTCCCAACGAGGGAAGGGCCCGATCTGTCCCTCTTCGATTGAATCACATTTGCGTAAGACGAAGGAGTATAGGTCCTTGGTCCTGTAGAATATTAAGCGTAGTTGATCGATTGCGATTATATTGAACTTCGATTACAGCGAAGACTGGATAACTGCAGGAAAATCGGGACCCGCAACTATAATACTCGGTCGGAGTTTCTATTCTGTGTATACATTTGCCACCGTTGAACGTGAAAAAGATAAAGAAAGATGTCCAAGGGGAAAAAGTAGTCGACAGAAGCCAGCAGAAACGTATCAATCGGTTAGAATCAAATTACACTGCTCGCTCGCTAAGGGGAACCGCCCACCAGTGGTGGAGATAGTCATTTTGCATATTTATCCAGTCTTTACTGTATTTATATCTTGAAAATGACCAAGTATCTACGCCTAATATTTTATACATACGGGACCTACGCTCCATCGTCCTGCGAAAGGATGTCGAAGGGATACAGATGGGTTTGCCCCTTGCGGGTGTCGTTGATCATGGTTTTCCTTCGATCGACGACGCTACTCCGTCCAAACGCACACATGCTCTCTCTCTCTCTCTCTCTCTCTCTCTCTCTCTCTCTCTCTCTCTCGTTGTTATCGACGCACGCAGCAGTATCGTGCGTTTCGAGCGCAAAGATTGCACGTAAAAGCAATCGCGGACATCGGGGGATCTCCCTTTGCTAATACTCTCGTGACGCACACGCACATATTTCATACACGAACGTGCATCCGAAAGTCCGTGTACCGTTCGTCCCGCTTTCATTCCCGTCGCCCCTCCGCTCGATTTCGTTACAATATTTATGTATATATTTATATATTTATAATGTTTATATGGTTTCTCCGTCGACTCACTCTTTTCGCTCAGAGATGGACAGAACTCTGTTTCGGATACTAAAAATAAAAAACAGCTTACCAAGAATCGTTCAACAATCGTTCGGCTGTCGTTCATAATTCGAAGGTTTTTATATAGCATCCGAGCATCGTCCCGTGGCTAATTCAGATTGCAATTTTTGCGGAACAAATGAGGAATGGAAAGCTGTTTAAACCTCTGTCAGTTATTCGTGGTTTATCCAGACGAGAATCTCAGCCCATCTCTGCTGAGTCGTTCGCGTCGTCTTTCGCGTGCGCACTGTCTCTTTCTCGCGTCTCTCTCGTTCATCTTATAAATGTAAATTAGTAACAATTATGTATTGGACAATGTTTAACAACGTAATTAACGCACACCTCCAATGTGTGTGCGTACCCTCCACCCGTGTGTACGCGTGTATGTGTGTGTGTCAAGTGTGTACGTTTTGTGGGTTTGTGCGTGCGTGCACGTGTTGCGTGTATGTACGTGTATACCTGTGTAGGACACGCCCTGCATCTCGTGCTTGATTTCCTGCAATTACGATGACAACAACGACGACGACGATTCTCTACTTCTCTCTTTTTACCATCTGCCTACCCCTACCCGCCCCACCCCCCTTCTTCCCGCTGCAGTAACCCGTGGCTTCGCTTGCTATCCCGCGACTCTCTCTGGTTCTCCCACGTTCTTTTTTTTTTTTTTTATGAAACACGGAAAAAGATCACTATGACGTCGCGCGTGACGTTCCATTACCAACGAATCGTACATAGAACTATTATCCGTACTGATACTTTCGATATCTAACATTTTCATGGGTCTATGCAAGCAGGATGGCAAAGATCATTTTTTTAGAAATAAAAATACCTAGTCGGACGTATCTGGAGTTGAGTGATTATACGATACAATATAAAAATGGGAGTAGGAATACTCGACGAGAGAAAAGACGATTCACGCTGCCACTGGGTTCGTGGGTACTTCGCCAGTTTCCGGTTTCCGAGGTAAGACCACATCGGTTTTCCCGATTGCAAATACGTCTCTAAATTGCCCCAGAGCCAGCTTCGATTCGCGCTTTTTCCCGTATTTCTTCTCCTTCTTTTTTCTTTTCTTTTCCTTTTTTTTAACCTGACTTTTGTTCCCCGGCGTCGAGAACCTCGCCAGCTCGAGCGCTTTCATACGTTTTTCGCTCTATAAGCTACTTCCCCCTCCATTGTCATTTTTCACTCGAACCGTTTCACCTCTCTGTGACTCCGTTTTGTTTCGCAGGCAGCCTGATTCTCGAACGTCGACGTAATCTTTTCCCAATCCCCCGTTAAAAAGAAAAGAAAAGCATTGGACTCGCGTTGGAGCAACTGGTTTCGTTTTGGCACCGCTGATTTAACCACCGGTGACGTATGAACGCACGAGTTCGAGACCGACTGTGTAACTACGGGGCCCGCCGGTTCGCGAAAACGAAAATGGCGACGCGTTCTAACTTCTCGTTTCCGATTCGAAGCCACGCGAACTATGGAGAAGAAGAGGTGCCACCTGGAAGAAAGAACTTCTTTTTTTGTTTACAGTATCGCTATTTTGGCAATATTTCTTTGAAATGATTCCCTTTTCTTGTCTATAAAAAAATCCGTCAGCTTGCTACGGTTTTTCTTGTTTCTACTCGATTGCGTTTCCCCCGTACGTTTCCGCGCTCGTCCCTCTCGCTCTTCTTTTAGTCATTCGCTCCGACATGCTCTCCCATCCACGTTCTCTCGCACGCTCCTCTTTTACTTCGTATCGTTACGTCTCTATATTAATATAATAGTTATTTATTTATTGTAAGGTCTAAACGAACACATATTATACCTCGATAACGTCGTGTTTATTTATCCTCGTGCCGTTTCCGCAAAACTTCTTGCCCCCTTTCGCCCCACACCGTTATTTGTTTCCCGTCCTCGTTTTCCCGCTAGTCTCACGACCAAAAGACTATTTACCTATGTCTTGTATGCGTGTTTGTGCTTTCGTGTGAAGCTTTTTGCGCGTTTAGTGTGTCTTCCTCTGTCTGTCTGCCTCTGTTTGTGTGTTTGTGTGTGTGTGTGTGTGTGTTACTTTTTTCTGAACAATGTCGTTTTCGTCAATCGTTAATTACTCATACTTGCATGCTTGCCCCTTGCGTGTGCCATTTTGTCTCATCCGGTCGCGTTCTCGCCCGCCATTTTGTGTTCTTCGCATTCGCACATCCCATTCGCTCCCGTGTTAGCACATTCGCACAGGATTCGCGTCCACCGATCCCTCTCCTCTTCGTCGACAATTTCAATATACCGATTTCAACGTGCCGTACTCTTCAATTCACCAGTTTCGTATCGTTTATGTATGCGTGTGTGTACTTATGTGACGTATCTTTGAATGTATAATAATAGTTGTATTGTAATCATTCTATCGTTTACGTTAACATTACTTTTATCGGTTTTTTTTTCCTCTTCATCGTTACTCCATTATTTAACCGTTATTATTTACTTCATTATTCAATTATTATTATTCGTTAGCTATTTATTTTATTCAATTATCATCATCATTATCTTCGTCATCACCCATCATCATCGTCATCATTTATCTTCGTCTTCGTATCGTCATCAACATCATCATCTTTATCATCGGTATAATCAGCATCAATATATCTCTGCGTTTTTTAGTATCGTCGTTCCCCCAAAATGGTGATCATCATCGTCGGTTTATCGTTTACCATTATAATCGTGATCATCGTTAATTATTTTAATTTTATCAATTATTATTGTATTATTGTTATCATTATTATTCGCGACAGACGTGTTTTTTTTTTTTTGCGTGTGTATGTCACGGTTCCATCGTTTCCGTTTGTCCTCGACGTTTCCCTAAATTCCAAGGGGAACTGAACCCGGGTGTGCGTCTTCGGCGCGTCTTCTCGTCGTTCGATGTCCAAGTTCATCGTCCCCTGGCGAGTCTTCCTCCCCTCCCCCATCCCGTTGTTCGAACCCCGATCTCCCTCGAAGCGCAATCGAAATTTCTTCCTCTCGCATCCAAGCCTCGTCTCTCTTCACCGTTTCCGAATCGGTTCCCCGTCGTGCCCCGATCCTTCGCCCTCGACGCGTAAGAGGCACGCGCGTTCGTTGCTCCCGCGACCCTTTCACGAGGGCCCGGAATCCTGTGTAAGGTACACCGCGAGTCCTTCTCGACTGGAGCTCCGGCTACCGATAGAAAAAATCTGCGTCTCGCGCATCTGCGCTCCCCGAGGCCGTCCCCTATGGCGGATCCTTCCTCAACGACGACGCCAAGCATCGCCGTCTCGCCGCGGAACGCCAAACATCGCCGTCTGGCCCCTCGTCGCCTCTTTCGCTTCCTCGCAGAGACGCGCGACGACGATCCCCTGTTTGATCCTCTTCGACGAACCGTGGACCGACGATCGATCGTCCCCGCAGCCTCCACCGTCGGCACAACCACCACCAGCACCACCACCACCACCACCAACGACACTTCACCCCGAGATCACGCGTCCAGCGACCGATCAGCGTCGACGTGCAACCGCGGCACTCGTCGCAAGGTCTTCGAGCGCGATTCGCGCCTCCGTCGCCGCGACTCGCCGTCGAAAGACGACACGAGACCCCATCGAGAGAGTGACGACGACGCTTACGACGCGACATCGGGGCTGCTCGTGATTTCCGTCGTCGCCACCTCCACCACCACCAGCACCAGCACCACCAGCCCCTGCAACGACGTTCGACCATCACCCACTTTTCGAGCATCCACTTCGCACAGTGACGCGCCCCGACGTGACAACAACCCCTGCGACGACGCAACGATGCGACGAGACCCAAGGCGCGGCCCGTTCCTCGAGACTGACGGTCCACCAGGGCGGCGATCAACCCGTGGAAGACCCACGTGATCCAGAGAACGGGGACCTTTCGAACGGTGGCGAGGAAGCTGGCCAACAACGAGCACAGCCAGAGCAGCCGGAGGAGGATCGAGGGCGATGGTCGATTGGACGACGAGACCATGGGCATCGAGCCTACCCCGCCGCTGCCGCACAACGAGGTCCCCTGTTGTTGCTGCAGCGTGTTGGAGGGGGACAGTGGCGACATCGACGAGTCCTCTTCTTCGCCGTCTTCGCCGCTGGTTGTGGACGTTGACTGTGGGTACTGCATACCTGCTTGAGGCAAGAAAACAGGGATCCGTTAGTGGATCTAATTGGAAAGCGATCTTAGGACTGATAAATATCACTCTGGTCATTTTAAAAAATTCATCTTTTTTCCTTGATGTACTCTATACTAGTACTGGATTGTCCAGAAAGTTCGGGGTAAGGTTTAACCCTTTATTTACTGAATTTCTCAAAAGATTTGAAAATCATCCATTTTGGTTTTATATCATCTCATAGAGTTGTCTCTAACAAGCTTCCAAAAAAAAGAGCTTGTCCATCCAACGATTAAAAACGAACTTCGCAGAAGTGGACTTGAAAGTTGAACTTGAAAGTTGAACTTGAAAGTCGCAATAGGTTTTAAGGAGTTTAACTTATACGTCCCGCCAGTAAATAAAGAATTAAAAAAAATTTAAGGGCACATTTGAATTTTTTTACTGAATTTGAATTATTTACTGAATTGTATAGGTATCATTTTGTCTCACAACCTTTCCACCTTTTAAGGGATGTACACGTGTTATTTCTTTTCAACCATTCCGAGATATTCAGACCTGTACCACCTACCAAAAATCTGCACGGATTTTACGGACAACCTAATAAATATACATTCGAAGATACAGGCCCTGGCCATGGAGAAAATTCTCAACGAATACAAAGCGAATGTTTGTCTACTGTAATTTTTAATAATTCTTCCTTGTTTAACCGTTTGCGCTCGAGTGGCGCCTCTAGGACGGCATATGTAATTTAAAAGTGATTATTTCGAACGTACCATTTCAATTTTACTTATATCAGAATACAGTTAATTATTAATTGAAATAATAACACATTGAGTCATGAGTGTTCGCAGATGTTTCTTTTCGAAGTAGAGTTTTTGCTTTTACAGAAATTTGTTATCAAAATGGACCGGATTTGATTTTATAAAAAAATTCCTCTAGCGGAAAGAGTCGAAGTAGCGTAACACTAACTAGTTGGCTGCCGAATCAAATCTCGTGGAAATTTCTACCAAGTTAAAATTTTATCTACAGACTGTCGAAGATTAGATATGTTAACATCTATCATAGTGTTTAATTTCTTAACCCCTTTAGCTCACGACTCCTGTCAAAAATGTAATTATCGTCTCCCTTTGGAATTAATTTATTTAGTTCCTCGGTGAAAAGTCCCGCCAGTCATTTATGAGTGCAGCGATCAACGCGTCGACTGCTAGACGCAATTTTTGCCTTGGCGAATTAATTTCCGCGAGGTGGAGGAGATGGAAGAGGGCCCCCTTATTGTTATTCTCGCGAGGCGATCGTTAGCATCGTCCGTCTTCGCGAGAGGATGGGAAACATACCTGTGGAAGCTGGTTGAATAGGATTAATCTCGCAGTGGGGCGCCGTCGGTGGATCGTGGCTTCTCCCGCGCTTCCTAGGCTCCCGATCCGTGCAATTCCAGCAGATGCCCGATCCTGGTTTCTCCTCGGAGCACACATGGAAACAGCACTCGCCCTCCTCGCTGCTATGCAACGCCCTCGAGGCTTGCCCTCCGGTCTCGGGGATGTTTGGATCTGAAATTAATTCGATTTCCAAACGACCTCGTCTCTGACGTTACGAAGAATCGCTTCGTTCTCTGGCCGAGAGGCGATCCGTCTACGTTCAGGTTCGCACAAGGGTCGAGGACGATGGAAAAGAGACTTGGCGTTAATTTTTAGCAACCCGAACAAGTTAAACGAAGACGGATTTCTATTTCGTGTTTACATTTGGCTCGAACGTAGAAAAGAACGGAGAGTGAAGTAGAAAGGGGTCCGAGGAAATAAAGCAGTCGGTAGAAGTATATCGAGTCGTTTAGGATCATATTCCACTGCTCGCTCGCCTAGTCGTCTTGTCCAGCCCAGTCTTTATACAGATTTTACTGCACCGTGTTTCGTCTTGGTCTCGTGAATAATATCTAGCACACCCTGTCTCGCGATCGATTGTTCGAACGATCTGACGAAACTGTAATTGTGTGCAATATAAACTATCAAGTAATCGGAGACTGTTCGAACGAGTAATGGCGTCACGTTTAAAGGCCGCGAACACAGCGTAGATTGAGGAAGATTAAGGAAGATTTAAGTCTACTCGAGAACGCATCAACCTCTGCCACCTCCATCATTCCCAGGGTCGCTACCCTTCGAAACTTAATACGTATTTTCAACTATACATACACGTAGAATAGCACGACAAACGCGGCGAAATCAGAGGGGTACGCGTGCGCCCGAAAGCGTATCCTTTTTGTTTATAAGAATAATTGTAAGTGGCGAGAGCCAAAAAGGCACCGGAGTGAAAGTTCTATGTATCCATCGATTTATACCAATTACATTTCTTCGTGTTTTATGAAAGAACTACTTGAATATTTAAGGCAGCGATATTAAAAGATTCTAAACAGTAATCTAATCATCTGGTCCTACCACTATCGTGTGCATTTTTTCTCGGGATTTTATCGAACTTGTTCGGGTACCACCTTAGAGCCAAACAGACTAGGTATCGACTCTAGAAGGTGTCTGTCGTTCCGATGCGGGAAAATCCTTGGTCCTTCCGCTGCAAAGGGGGCCACTCGCCAGAACGACGACCCGTCCGCATAAATTTTATCCAGAGTCCGGAAACTGTCTAATATCTGTCAGGAAAGCAGGATTCTCGACGTATGCGGTCGATATTTTGTGTCGTGCGTCGCTCCGTCAGGAATCGCAGAGATTTATTCGAATAACGAATGGGGACCGAAATCAACGCGTAGCGACGTTATTTGGGATAATTTACGCGTTAGTTCACCGTGAAATATAATTTCGAATACAAAATTTCGAATTAATTTCAAATTTACCAAGATTTGTTCGCCAGGGAGTCTTGTTGCTTCTTTCTTTCTTTCTTTCTTTTTTATAGGCGTTTGTCTCTTTTCCATTTTCCACGGAGTTAAGGCAAATATAGGGGAAAAGAAGGTCAGAAACACAAAAGTTGTTATTTTTTAAGCATTCCACTTACTCGTGGCAACACAATTTCCCCCGACTCGGATCTGACTTTCCTTTACCCCCGGAACAAGCGGAATACTTGTTTGCGATGGATCTAGAGGGTGCCAAAGAATATTTTTACCCTCCGTTAATGGCGCCTAATACAAAGCTCGCTATGCAATTCGCATAATCTTAATGTTAACGATAATTCGCAATGACGCGTGTTTATTTTAGTCGAGCCAAGCTTCGTACATTCGTGATATTAATAACATCGTGTGAAGGGTCAGTAAATGTAAATAAAAATGTAATCAAATAAAATTTAATTAACGTTGTAATTTTTAGTGTATGGGTTAATGAAAGAAACTGATATTCTACGAACACGTTCTTTACGAATCTTGGTTCGACTAGAATAAATACGCCATGTTTGACCTTGAAGCGCAGAGCTTAGAGAAAGAACCTGGAACAATTCTTTATCTCGATGGATCGTAAAGACGGTTTTAAAGGGTATAGAAGCGAATGAAGATTCAGGTGATTCACCTCTGCAAAGAAAGGTGGGTTCGCCAGCGTATTGGGTGGGGTACGCGGGGGCACGGTCACCCGGAAGCAAGTAAGGACAACGTTGCTCCACGGATTGGCAGAAGGACCGACAGGGCCTAAGCCTGCTTCCGACCCAGCTGTTCTCCAAGGTATCCAAGTCCTGCGGTCCCCCGTGAGCAAAGTAAGGCACCAGGGAGCTGCACACCCATTTTCTATACGCCTCCTGCAACACAACAAATTTCCCGATTCGTTAGAATTCAGACAAACAGATTTCGGTTTCTTTTATTTTTGTCATGAATTAACAATCGACGGATTCTTTCTTTCTGTACACACATACTTGAAATTGTTATTAAATTTTTACTTGATATTCAAAGAAACGGCACAAAACTATTCAAGCAGATATATAGCTGGTGCTAGAATGTTAGTGATACAATGTCAGTTTTTTTTTTTTTTTTTAACTGACGCTAAATTCATCGAAGAAATTACGAAGATTTCAAATTAATTCTCGAAGTTTTAACGTAATCTTAGTACCAGTCCATGCATTAAATATCTACTACATTTCTTTGTACGGCAGTTTCTTTCTTTTCTGCTTGAAAAAATTGGTATCGTTTGTTTAACTACAAGTAAAATCGTAGTAAAAATCTCAAGTATGTGTAATTTAATGAACCAGAAAGCAAAATCTCGAAAGAAGAGGAAATGACTGGCCGTCACGTGGTACGACCCCCTTAAAGGGAGTGTCAGAGTTATTTCCAGAAAAAAATTCAACGAAACCCCGACTCGTGGGGTGCACAGAGACCATTCTTTTCCTTGTAAATGCGCTTTACGCGAGTATTGACGGTTCGCTCGCATAAATGAATAAATAAATAAATATCACGGTCGCGGCGTTCTCGTCTTTACCTCGTTTTCGGGTGTCTATTTGGAGTGATCGTGTCGGGACGGGCAATAAGGCGGGTCAGTGGCTGACCTACATATCCTTTAAATGTTACCCTTATCCGAGCGTCCTCTAAGACCGCGTTATAATTACGCTCTGGTTGCAGGAGGAACCTTTTATCCACCGGGGCAAGTTATCCTCGACCACTTTTCTCTCTGTGTTTCGTTCCCTTCCAACCACCTTCCCCCCCCCCCCCCTCCCTCACTCTCTCGCTCTCTGACCGTTCCTTCGGCGCGCTTTATTAAATTTTCCGTGTACAGAGACGAAAGGAACACGGAGAACCAAGAAAATGACGCGGTCGCGCGTATTACGTTTCCCGGCGTCGCGTTTCGCCGCGGAAGGATTCATCCTGAATGTTCGAGGATTCAGTAATGACGATGTTAAGAAATTTTCTACTTTGGGAGAAAAAGAAACGTGTTACGAGTGAGAAGGAACTTTCGGTTTTTAGAGAAATCGATTTTGAGAACTCTTGTGGCACTGGTCGAGTACACGTCTGACCATTGCTGGGCATTTCTACTTGATCTTCCTGAGCGGTCATCGTTCGAGGATCTGGCAAGGACGATGTTAAGAAATTTTCTGCTTTGGGAGAGAAAGAAACGTGTTACGAGCGAGAAGGAACTTTCGGTTTTTGGAGAAATCGATTTTGAGAACTCTTGTGGCACTGATCGAGTACACGTCTGACCAGTCCTGTGTATTTCTACTTGATCCATTAACTCTGTGTTAAGGGGTCATTCTACTTTATTGGCCAAGAAAAACATGTTCTTTCGCCAATTTTTTTTGAAATGATATTACAAAACGATTTATTTTAAACTTTATGAGTATGTTCATTGTGCTTTTATAATTATATTAGAATTTTTTCAAGAAGAAATTTTGAATGTTACATTGAACTATCTTTAATTAAACAATAATTTATTTCAAAAACACAGCTCCTCTGCGAACGCGATATTAGACGATCGTGAAATCTGAAACACATAGAATCAACAATTTTTCAAACTTTTTTTAATCTGCATAAATTTTTATCTCGTATATACTAGGATATTTTTGATCTATTCATTAGTTTCTTTGTTATTAACAAATAATCAACAATATTTTCCTTCAAAGGATCGCTATTTTGTCATTTTTCGTTTGTTTGGTAATATCCTAACATATACCAGATAAAAACTTATGCAGATTAAGAAACTGTTGATTTCATGTGTATCAAATTTCAGGATCGTCTAATTTCACGTACGCAGGGAAGCAGTGTTTTTAAAATAGATTGTTGTTTAATTAAAGATAATTCGATGTAATATTCAAAATTTCTTCTCGAAAAAATTCTAATATAATTATAAAAGCATAAAATTTAAAATAAATAGTTTCGTAATATCGTTTCGAAAAAAATTATGGAAGAAGTAGAATGACCTCTTAACGATATGGTGTTACCACTTCTAGCTGGTTTTATAAAAAACAAATAGAGCTTCAAGTTCGTAAAACGAAGAAACATACGCCCCTTGTCATACATTACTACCAGGATATTACCATAAATTTATGGCAAATGGGCATATAGGTAAATCTATGCAGAACGTGGACCGAAATTAAAATATCAACAACGACGTACATCTTATAACGTTCAAAAGATAAAATACACATTTCGTGTGCGTTTTCGATTCATTTTCTACATCTTCAAAAACATATACTTCGCATATACAGTTTGACAACGAATATATTCAACACTTCCCACTCTGTATGCATCATCCCATTTCGTATAACCAAGCCGAAAGTGTCTCTTACAGAGGATGTGCCGTCCCACGACCGCAAACATCTTCAGCCATGAATTTCGGTACATCCACAGGTTTCCCTCGACGTCAGCTTATTCCTCGCGAGGGGGCGATACTCGCGCGGATAAGCAAAGCACGAATAATCTGACGGGAATAAATCGCAAGACGGCTGTACTCGGCTCGATTCGGCATCGAAGCTGGCCAGCACATCCTCGCGGAATCGCTCTCATCCCAAATCTCGAGTGCAGCGTCGAGCGAGCCAGCGCCAGAGAGCTTCGCGAGGATTACATCAGCGTTTCTCGAGCCACTCAGCCCTTCGAGTCGGTAAATGCCTTTAGCTGACACGCGAAGTTCCCAGCTAAACGTCCATCGTCGTAATCGAATCGCGAAACGAGACTCCGAACGCGTGGCTGTCACGATTATTTCGAAACGATCGACTGCAAATATTTTTTCGGGACCTTCGGAGTCTCGTTCAAATAATACAGAATTCTTTTTAATAAATTCTGTACGGTAATATTCGTACCTTCTATGTTCATCGAACAAAGTTTGTTTAAATTAATGATAGATGTTACAAAATAAATGTTTCGATATAAATATGTACAAGTGTGAAGTTTATTCGTATACATACTTATAATGAAACATTTATTTGAAAATTTATTTGAAAATCTTGTTAATATCTTATTTCTTTTCTTATTAATTTTATTTCAAATTGGTTGCCGCACGAATACTTACACTGGGTCTATATTCAAGACATTTGTCTAAATTAAACGGTAAGCTTAACATTTCCAAACAAATGTTTCATTATGAATATGTACACGAATAAACTCTTCGCGCGTGTATATATTTACAGCGAAAAATTGCTATAGAAACATCAAACCTATCATTTAATTTGGAGTAATTTTGCCTCTTGTTTCTTTTCTTGTTAATTTTATTTTAAATTGGTTGCTGCGCGAATACTTCCTACACCGAGTGTATATTCAATAAATTTATTTCAATTGCAAGCTTAACACTTCCAAATAAATGTTTCGTTATGGATATGTACATGAATAAACTTCGCGCGTTAAACCTATTATTTAATTCAGAGAAATTTCATCGATAGAGGGTACGAATACTTATGGGGCAGGACTATATCACCCAAACATCCTTAAATACGATAAGCGTTGGAGTCTCATGAAAAATAAGGGGCACCAGGATTCGGGGCACCAGGATTCGGGGCACCAGGATTCGGGGCACCAGGATTCGGGGC